ACAAAACTACAGCAGCAACAAGTCTGTGTTGCCTTTAGCAGCTTCTACAGGTAAAGATAACTTAAATCACTCCTTTTGATGTGTCCTTTTTCAGGCAGTGTTTGAAAAATGTAATTTTTAAATTAAATTTTTAAAAAAAGCCTAAATATTTAATGCTTTATTTAATTATTATACCATTAATAATTAACTTAATTTGTAGTTAACTAGTTAAGTATTTAAATAATTTACCATACTAGGCTGTTGGTGTCAGGGCTTATTTATTTATTAATTTTTAAATGACATGAGACTTTGTGACTTCCTGCACTTGCGCTATGGAGTGCGAGAGCGGAGTCCAAATCTTCAGTTCTCATTCTGCTAGATCTATCTGTTAATCATCAAATCCTTCTGTCCACCTTCTCATCGCTGGGCATCACCGGAACTGCACTTCTCTGGTTTGAGTCTTACCTCACAGGTAGGTCCTTCAAGGTGGCTTGGGGAGGAGATGTATCCAGAGCACATCAAAACTGGTCACTGGGGTTTCTCAGGGATCAGTTCTTGGTCCTCTCCTCTTCTCTATATACACTACATCACTGGGACCCATCATACAGGCACATGTTTTTTTCTACCACTGCTATGCTGATGACACGCAGCTCTACCTCTCATTTCAACCAGACGATCCAACGGTAGCTGCTCAGATCTCAGACTGCCTGACAGAAATCTCAACATGGATGAAAGAGCATCACCTGCAGTTCAACCTAGCAAGGACTGAGTTTCTCATCTTTTTAGCCTCCCCATCAGTCCAGCACCAGTTTACCATCCAGCTGGGCTCATCAGCGATAATCCCATCGAGTTCGGCCAGGAATCTTGGGCAGAGGCGTAGCAATAGGGCAGGCAAGGCAGGCAATTGCCTGGAGAGGGCTTATTTATTTATTAATTTTTAAATGACATGAGACTTTGTGACTTCCTGCACTTGCTGTACCTCATAGTCATTTTATAATAAAGCCAAAAGCAAGACGTGAGTAATTTAATGTAATTTTCATCTTAAGTCTTTGTTTTCCACCAGGAAACAATTTCCCCCCGTCTTCTCCATGAATGAAAGTGAACATTTAAAGTGAATTTTGGCAGAGTTAAAAAATAAAAGAAAAAAATAATAAAGGCTTTAAATTATTATAAGTGTTTCAAAAATTTAGGGTTTTATTTTGAGGTTTTATTTTTATTAGGCTGTACCTCATAGTCATTTTATAATAAAGCCAAAAGCAAGACGTGAGTAATTTAATGTAATTTTCATCTTAAGTCTTTGTTTTCCACCAGGAAACAATTTCCCCCCGTCTTCTCCATGAATGAAAGTGAACATTTAAAGTGAATTTTGGCAGAGTTAAAAAATAAAAGAAAAAAATAATAAAGGCTTTAAATTATTATAAGTGTTTCAAAAATTTAGGGTTTTATTTTGAGGTTTTATTTTTATTAGTTTGCATCCCTGGGTACTGTGTCTTGCTGCCAGTGTGGAGCCTACTAATCAATATAAATAAATCTCATTACATTTACTTAGTTGACATTATTTATTTAGCTTCTATATTAAATTAGTTGAGTTAACATAATTAGTTGTCAAGTAATACAACTAGTAAAGCTGATAAAATCATACCTCAGGTCAGCAATGAACCAAGAGAGGCTGTCAGCACTGGCACTAATTTCAA